AAGATAAGAACTATATAGACTGCCTCATCGGTAAACATAAACACGGGTAGGTTCTCCTCACACCCGAAGGTTAACAGTTCGCTGACAGGGGGACATACTCACACGCCCACAACAACAGTCAGTGTAGAGTTAATGATTCACACACAGCCGGGCGCTGTAGTTATATAGCCATTTAGACATTTACGGTGGCAAAGGTGGAGAAGGGAGGCTGTCGATATATCTCCGCGCCTCATCAGACGAGCGTAGCCACTTCCTATCTCCGTTGGAAAGCATGATGCAGAGCCGTGCGGGGTATAGGAGAGAGGGTTTAAGCCCTCGGCTGTAGAGATCCGCCATGACTTCCCTGTATTCAGCTCGCTGGCTCAGAACCTCGGGGCTATAGTCGTCGACCACTCGAACCTGCTGACCACGGTATTCCAACTTCCCTCTGCGCCAGGCCTCACGAATCAGGAGGTCCTTGATCTGGTAACGATGCAGCCGGAGAATGACGGGACGTGGTCTCTGTCCAGGGGCCGGCTTGGCTGTTAGCGAACGATGGGCCCTATCAATCTCGGGTGGGGACGGGAGTGTCTCTTTCCCAAAAACTTCCCACAACAAGCTTGAGAAAAACTCAGTAGGTCTCTCACCTTCAGTAAATTCCGCCAAACCCAGATTGCGAATATTTTGTCTCCTGCTGCGGCCCTCTAGGTCCACGACTTTGGCCGTTAGCTTGGAGTTGCTCTCTCGTAGGCCGGAGCAAATGTTTTCCAGTTCTGCAACACGCTGACTCAGATCTTCCGAGGCAAGTTCAAGGGATGAGAGACGTTGGCCATGTTCGTCGACAGTGGAGCAGATCTGGTCGAATTTACTTTCCAGCTGGTTGAAAGAAGTTTTAAAGTCAGTAGCTAGCGCTGATCTGTGCTGTTCAAGTAGCTCAGACATAGCCTCCATGGATAAGCCGGCGGTTTGGTCGTCTTTTTTCCCCGATTTACCACGGTGCGAGGTCATTGTAAAGTAAGCAAAGGTTGGGGAAAAAAAAAAGTGCAAAGGTAGCTACTCCGTCTGCAAGGTATGGCTATAAATGAATGAGAGAAGAGTGAAGCACACAGGAGCTCTCACACGTCACGTCTGCTCCATACCACCATCGACCGGAAGCCCCAACTTCATACTTTTGAAATATTTAGTGTTATTTTGAAATTTTTGCCCCATTCAAATGAATGGGAAAATTCTACATCATACTTTCAGCTATTTCAGGTATCAAAATGTTCAGCTCATCAAGGACATTCATGCTTCTCTTCAGAAGTTTTCAAAACTTTATACATTTTAAATATTCAGCTTTATTTTGAAAGTTTTGCACCATTCAAATGAATGGGAAACTTCTACTTCAGCAAACTTTCAGCTATTTCTGCTTTCAAAATGTTCAGCTCTTTAAGGACATTCATACTACTATTCAGAAGTTTTCTAAACTTCATATTTTTGAAATATTTAGCTTTATTTTGAAAATTTTACCCCATTCAAATGAATGGGGAAATTCTACTTCAGCATACTTTCAGCTATCAAAATGTGCAGCTGTTCAAGGACATTCATGCTACTCTTCAGAAGTTTTCAAAACTTTATACATTTTAAATATTCAGCTTTATTTTGAAAGTTTTACCCCATTCAAATGAATGGGAAAATTCTACTTCAGCAAACTTTCAGCTATCAAAATGTGCAGCTGTTCAAGGACATTCATGCTTCTCTTCAGAAGTTTTCTATACTTCATACTTTTAAAATATTTAGCTTTATTTAGGAAATCTTGCCACTTTCAAATGAATGGGAAAATTCTGATTCAGCATACTTTCAGGTAGATATGCCTTTCAGGTGTCAAAATGTTCAGCATTTTCAGGGCGATCTTTCAACACACAGCATCAACACATATTTACAACAGGAAATGCATTTCTCTAGTTGAATTTATACTTTCAGCCGTCCCTGGTATGCTAGTGGTTAAGGCGCAGCGCTCTCGCCGCTGCGGCCCGGGTTTGAATCAGTGTTGCGTCAGGAAGGGCATCCGGTGTAAAACGTGCCAAATGTCAACATGCGAGTTGTCAGTGTGACGATTCGCTGTGGCGACCCTGAATGGGAAAAGCCAAAAGTGACTTGCTTAATTGAATTTATACTTTTATGACAGTCTCACCAAAAACTGAAAGATTTTGAGCTTCATAAATGCAGATTTTAAGGCAGACATGTTGCATAGAAGTGCATACAGATGTACAGGTGGTCATAATGTTATGCCTGATTGCTGTATATAAACCAGTGTTTGTTTTGACATAACACTCTGGTTTAGCTAAACTCGTTCTAAACTGAAGCTAAGTTAGTTAGATGCTAAGTGACAAAACAACAGCTCCATGGACGTTTGCCTTGGTTTTCTGGGGAGTTTTTCGGGGGTTTTGGGGCAGATGGTTATGCGTGCTGCACAGATTGTATAGCCTGCTCAGGCAAGTTTATCTGTGACATTTGGCTATATAAATAAAACTTTATGTGACTGACCTTTTTTTTGTGTGTTAGACATCTTCTGCACACCTGGCGATCAGAGGTGGAGCCGCAGGAAAAACAGCGTCTTCAGTCGTAGCAGGAAATGGAAACTGTGCTGGTGCATTTGGGACGGATCAGATAACAGTAGTGAGAATAGACGATACTCACATTGCAGAGGAGCAGTCTCATGTTGGGGAGAAGGTTAAAACTGAGGCTACAGAGTACTATGAGATGGAGTACTCCATTCCTGCAGAGGGGGAGGCTGCGGAAGAGGAAGAGGAGGACAGTGTGTATGTCATAGAATACTCAAATCCTGAAGAGGAGGGAGAAAGCTACCAGTTTACAATGTCTGTTGATAGGTCAGTCCCAGCGAAAAAGCTGAAACATCCGGTGCTCAAAGGGAACTCCAGAACTCCTTTACCAGTGATGTCCAAACTGTCCACACTGCCAGGGCACCAGGTGAGGCAGAAGAGTGAACCGAGAAGTGAAGAACAGGTGAACGAGGAGCCAATACTGAGTAATAAGAGTGTGTTGGAGCTCGGAGAAGACTACAGCACTCTTATGTGCTCAGATAAAAGTATGCTGGTGTGCTCACTGTGCCCGCCGCCTGGCAGGATCTTCAGGAAAGGTTCGGGTCTGGCCGTGCATTTGAAACAAGTGCATCAGATTGAGGGGAAGAAGACGTTTTTCTGCACACACTGCAAGAAAACAGTTCGTACTCAGATTGAACTGGACGCGCACACGCGACGTCATGCCAACAATGTTGCTGTGTTCACCTGCTGCCTCTGCTCGGCGGAGGCTCAAGACAAGGCAGAGACGGTACAGATGGGGTTCAAAGGGTCAAGGTGTGGCCTGAAGAAACATCTGGAAACAGAGCACCCAGGAGTCATCCCGCGCTGTGACATCTGTAACAGAGGCTTCAGGACACTTACGTCATACCTCGCTGACCAGTTCAGGCATGTAGGAGTGTCGCCATACTACTGCACCAAGTGTCAGGTCTACGAAATGACTGAGAGAGGTCTGAACGTGCACTTCCAACACCACAACAAGAAGAAGAAGAATCAGGAGTCAGGTGAAAACCACCTGCCAACAGCAGGAGGCTCCACCGGCGCTGACCACTCTGCCACAGACAGCACTGAATAATGACCCTCCAGATACATGCCTGCGTGCTCTCTAAGGTCAAACTGAGTAGCACTAGAAATGTGCTTCGTTCACCCTCAAATGTTTTGGCGCTTATGTACTTCCTTACTAACAGTTAGGGGTGTGAAGAGTAATATTAAAACATGACGATATATCTCATCGAGGCAAGAGCTGTCTCACGACATCAGTACTTAGCAGAGCCAGGATGACGGAGTGTGATGACACATTCACTTTAGAAAAGTTAGAAAAAGAGAGATTCAAAGCAACAGAGCACTTAGTACAGCATGACTGTGTTGTCATCATGGGAGCTGCTGTACAGGCGATTTCCTCAGGCCTTTGTTAGCAACCACCAGATCTTATTTACTCAGCTTTTAAAAAATTGCCTGAAGTGGCTGTAAACTTTGTGCCACTTGGTGGAGGCTTCTCCCTGTAGCATCCATCAGCGTCACATGTACAGTAAGTTCAGTTTGGTTACTGGGGCCTCAGTGGGACTAGAAGGAAAATGACATGTTCTGCTGCCCGGATCTCGGTTTTTCCATCATGCCAGCTTTGTTTTGGAGAATGTGTCCCAGATCCAGACTATAAACTACATTCAGTGTCCACTTCCTTAGGAACAGCATTGCAGTCTAATCTGACACCTGTGACGTTCAGGTGTTTTGACAGTTAATCTGTGTGTTAACAGTGAGCTCATAGTGACGGTGCTGTACTAGATGCTTTCTAATGTTCTTCAATCATTCAGTTACTTTATTTGGAATTAAGAGTATTTAATTAAGTCACCATTTTCTCAGCAAGTGTAGCAGAGAGTGTATGTGTAATTGTAGTAGTCCAGTACAATGCCAGCTTTATCTGTGACTTCAGTGATAAACCTGTTGAATTAGCACATTCTGAACATTATCATGTTTGTAAAAATAAACTGTCTGGATTGTACAGATTGAACAGGTGTCCCTAATTGAGTTGACACTTAGTTTTTCACTAAATGTACTACACATTGATCACCATACTTTTTCCTTTTGTCCTGTGTTTATTCTCTATAAATCATGTTCCTGGTTTAAGCATGTAGACATTTGATGCAAATATTGGTAATGAAGATATTTGTTTTATCAGTGAAAACATTTATTTTTACTGGGAGAGAATAAAACACCATTATCTTTTTTTAATCCATGTAGTTAAAAACCTTTCATTAAACTCTGCAAAGCTGATTAAATTAATTTTCATGAGTTTTCCAATTTGAAACATGCTTGTGTTTTTCTAACTATTTTCTAATAAGTTTATGAATTCATTGTTGTGTAGTTTTGTTACTGGAGGATTTTTATTCTTTGCTGTAGCAGTTTTTTCTCTGCCACATTATCCTGCCTCTTTTATTTCCCAGCGCAATTAAAGGGGAATGCTGCTGATTTATAGCACTGTTGTACTTCCATCATCCTGACATTTGTTGCCTGCCTGTGTTTCTTTGTCTCTTTCTTTGCATGTGTTCCTGTGTCCTCCTCATGTCCTCAGTGGGAGGGAGGACGCAAGGGGAACGTCCAAGTGAGGGAAATGACAGTGCACCTTAAGTAAACCTGTGTGTTTATCCTACATGTCTTTCTGTGGTTGGGGAGACAGATGTTAGTTGTCGTGAGCACATTTGACTTTTTGAGAGTTAAGACATAGTTTAAGGGTTAAAGTGAGAATTAACGTAAGGTTAAGCGTTTAGTTGGGATGATTAAGGATGGGGAGCGGGTGGATTATGAGGCAGGAAGACCCTGGGCACAGACAGGTTAAAGGCCCCCCTGTTCTCCTACATAGATCCCCCAAATTTTGTTTTTTTTTTTTTGGTATGGTAAGTTTTTTCTAGTTATGTAACATCTCTTTGTGTTCATTTTTATGGTGATTTTCTTATTCCTCTGAAGTGATTTTGTGCATTTTTGTAGTCTTGTTTTTCCACTTTATACAAACATGAATTTAGAAGTTTATCTGAGACTAATCTGGGTTAGACAGATCTTTGATCTTCCAAAACCTTAAAATCTACTTTTTTAGCAGTTTTTCTGTCGAGCTGCAGTGGAATTATAATAATAAAAACAGAATCATGCACAATATGTCATTATTTCTCTGAGCAAAATCGGTCTCCCAGGGTCATTTCCAGTTTCCAGCACTGTGCGTGCAGAGCTGCGCAAGGTGCTGCGGGATAAGGAGTGCCGCCTGCAGCAGCACACTGGGAAGATGGAGGAGCAGCGGCGCAGGGCAGCGGCTGAGAAGAAGACGCAGCAGCAGGAGGCGGAAAAGGTCAGAGGTCACGGCACACTCATGATGCATTCACCACCTGTCAGCAAACAGAACGACATGTCACTGAGATCAAAACACTGTCCCATTTTATCCAGTGACACCAGACGTAGCATTTACTGTAAGCTGAGAAATTTGCCAGTAAAAATCTTCTCAGACACACCTAAACATTTTAAATGTCCTAGTTATGGTGTTTTTGTTATTGATGTTAAGAAGATTGGTTTCTGTGATGACAATGATCACTCTCTTTTCCTCCCCCTCTCTCTAAAACTGAGTGAACCCATAAACCAGCCAATGTATTTCCAACTGTTGGCAGGTTAAGGGGGTGGCAAGTAATTAAAATGCAGAAGCTCTAATGATTTTCTGTCAGCAGACCAACTGTGTGCATTCATCTGAGACAGGAAAAGCTTGGCTGGTGGTTCTGACCACCTGATGAGTCCAGTGTTACCTCCCTCTCTATCAGCTCTGTTTTAGTAGCAACTCCTGAGGGAAATATCAGGCTTTTGAGCCGACGGCTGAACTGTGTTTACCAGTAAATCTATGACTGTGTCTGTCTGCTGTTTGCTGCTGAGCAGGTTGTGTGCAGTGTGTTTCTAAAGCTTCTATGAAAGCTGTGACTAAAAACAGCGCTGTGAGCGTGGCAAGGGCAAATCAATCAGTAAAGCTGTGGTTAGACAGTCCAACGAGGAGCTGCCACTCATCGCTGTAGAATCTCCAATAGAAGCGGCCCCTTTCACATTGTCAATGAAAAATTGTTATAAAAACATTAATGAATGAATTAAAATACTTGACTGGTCCACCCGAAGGACAAACACCCAGACATAAACAGAGTGATGTGGTGTATGGAATTGTTGTCTGCGGTTCTTTTTACCATGCTAACTCTGAGAGACGAAGCAGTCCAAGTAACTTCAAAACAGTGCTGATTTATTCAATCAACACAGGTAAAAATTAACATTACACGCTCAGGTATCTTGCACCTCCAACATGCACGCAGGCAGATGAAAGATGAAAGACCCTGAACCACAACAGGCCTATACATTATATCCCTTCGGGCTAACCCCATTCTACTCAGAGAGAGACGCCAAACCGTGATGTCTCCCAGGGCCAGCTTTGCAGCTGGCCAGAGCAGTAGTAAAGTATGAGGAAAATCAATGTGTGAAATGTTTGTTGATTATGTGGTGTGTAGCTAAAAACATTCTAACACGACCTCTAGTGACATGTCCTGACATTAAACATAAGAAAATATTATGGCTATGGCT